AAAACAATAATTTTCACAAATCTCCAAAACTATCTGTGCTTCACTTACTTGAACGTTACTACGGCTGTCCCGCAATTTTTAAAATGCCTCGGCATAGTGCCAAACATAGTCTGACGTCGATCCTCACGCGGCAGCGAACAATGTGAGACCTAGAAAAAGATTTTTCAGTGAGGTAAACAAGAAAGTCCACATACCTTTCCAAACTTTGAAAAGAACGAGTGCAGCTGTGGAGATGTAACTCTCGATGAGATATTTGTCACTATGATTTTTCTGTCTTCTTTCGATCTTGCATGAAATGCCAGAGCAGCGTCGAAATCTAATATCGAATAGATAAATCATAGATTGACAAGTACATGAAACACAAACGCAAAAAATGTATGAGAGACAGAAAATGCACGAAACTGATGACAGAGTGAAGTTAGTGTTTTAACTGACCCAAATAAACGAATTTTTAGTGCGCCACAGCAATAAATGTGACAGTCTTGCTTAATAAACCTTGTAAAATACCAAAAATTTCAGCAGCTTTTTGGCAGCAACCCGTTCTCGGGTCTCCTTCTTCTAAAGTCAACTAATAGATTCGGTGCCTAGCAAAGGCAACCGGTTTTATCCGGCTGTTCTCTGTGTGTGACCTTATTTGAGTCAAGAATGTTTTACTTGAGGCTTACAGTATACATAGCTTGAAAAACCGGGCGCTGTTAATAACATTATCGAAATCTCTAACAAACAGAAAAAATGCAGAGAAACTATGAACTGACCATCTGTTTCTCCTCCATCAAAATCCTGTCCATCAGCCATAAGCATCGGCAATAAGCGACGATATTTTACAAACTCAGCCGCTGAATGTGACCATGTCCGCCTGAATTTTTCTATTGCTATAAGAATCAAATTGCTATTGAATTGCTAAGCTGCAAGCTCTCACCTCAGTTTGCCTACACTAAAAAAGCGTGCTCTGGTCACAAAAGATTGGAACGCCTCTGACATGTCGTTAAGCCCCTTGCTTTCGAGATTTTGGCCGTGCAACCGTCGCAAGGCTTTGAACATCGTCTAAATAGACAATCAATT